TAGAACTCTGTGAATAGGTACAGTTAGGGAATAAATCAAATATTGAATTTTCTCTTACAAATTTTAAATTTGTTAAAAAAATTGATATACTCCCAAAACGATGTTTTATAAATAACCATCTGTCTGCAGTAGCCCTTTTCAGCGTAGAATGCCGCAAATTATTATGAAATTTAATCAAAACCACTGTTTCTATTCTTTCACTGTATTTTCGCCCACATTTCCTAATTGATTTAAATACTGTTTGAATTCATAGGGTTGTGAGGGTAAATAGTAGAATGATTTAAATATTGTTTGAGTTCATAGGGTTGTGACGGGTAAATAGTAGAATGATTTAAATAATTTAAATTAAACATTATTTTCTCCTTGGATATAATCGTGTGACAGGCAGAAGTGATCTTGATAGGAGAACACAAATTTGCTTTATTTGTAAATATATCAGAAATCAATAATTTTTTCATATTGGTTGAAATGTAAAAATTATAGACCAAGTTCAAGTAAATACTTTGATATAATTTTTAAGTTATGAAAGTTAGTCATTTTGGAGGCAGAAGATGGTTAGATTTTAACCTAAATAAAGTTTGACATCATTCTCATGGATTTGAAGATTCCAACATTATAAAATCATTGCAAAACTTTATTCTAGCCATGTTGTATGCCCTAACGTGGCCAGATTTTCAAAAAATATTCTCATCTTCAAGAATTGGACACAAAAAAAAAAACATTTTTAAAAGGACAAGGATTTCTAAGCGGCTCGGACGATTTAATGAGGAGAATGTGGCTCGGACTAGGAATTGTTGTGGTTGGCCTTCCATCCCTCCCCTTGTAAATGTTAAACTTTAATGACTGGAAGCAGGTCTAACTATAGATTTAGTCTGGTTTAGGTAAAATAAGGCATTTAGCTGAAAACCTATGAGTGAGGGGAATGTGCTAGTTATAAAAGTAAAAAAAAATCAAAACCGAAGACCAAAACTTTTTGAGTTGTGTAAAAAAACGTTAGAGGGGTTAAATACGTTCGTCAAATATTTAGATTTAAAGTTCGGGCAGAAAATAGGACAGAAAAAATAATACAGTATAGACTGATAAACTTGTCATTTCTCATTCTAAGGAATTGAGTCTTTGCCACAAACTCTGAATTTTGAATCCTTATATCTTTGGAACCCATGTCTTTGATATTTCAAACTTATATTATTTGATCTAACAGAATTCATAGTTTGAAATATCTAAGGTCTACGACATTGGAATCCAAAAATATAGGGTTTAGAAAAGCAGAGTTTTGAGGAGAATGTGGCTCGGACTAGGAATTGTTGTGGTTGGCCTTCCATCCCTCCCCTTGTAAATGTTAAACTTTAATGACTGGAAGTAGGTCTAAATATAGTTTTAGTCTGGTTTAGGTAAAATAAGGCATTTAGCTGAAAGCCTATGAGTGAGGGGAATGTGTTGGTTAGAAAAGTAAAAAAAAAAGAAACTGAAAACCAATACTTTTTGAGTTGTGTAAAAACGTTAGAGGGGTTAAATGCGTTCGTCGAATATTTATATTTAAAGTTCGGGCAGAAAATAGTACAGAAAAACAATATAGTATAGACTGATAAACTTGTCATTTCTCATTCTAAGGAATTGAGTCATTGCCACAAACTCTGAATTTTTAATTCTTATATTTTTGGAACCCAATGTCGTAAATCTTTGATATTTCAAACTTACATTATTTGATCTAACAGAACTCATAGTTTGAAATATCTAAGGTCTACGACATTGGAATCTAAAGATATAGGGTTTAGAAAAGCAGAGTTTGTGGCAAAGACTCAATTCCTTTCTCAGATTTGTTAATTCATAAATTACTTCTAATTCTGTATTTATTGTTTATATTTCTCCGGTTAAATAATGTTTTAGTTCACTAATCTCTTTAATGGCCGCCCCGTGGAACAATAAAAACATTTTATGGCGGTAATTTAGAAAACATTTTGTAGCACATAAGCAACAAATTCCAGAACAATGTTAAAATTTCTAGGGGTTAAAAATGTCATCCAGAAAATAAAAATTTATGTCCATTCTTTCGAACCCATTTTCCCAATTAAACTTGCAGATTTTCAAATCCTTGAGGTCATTGAAATAATATTTTTTATGAAAATAATATGAAAATTGTACCAGGTACTAGAATTTCGATCAACAATTATGAATCATTTTTAAAAAGTTTATCCACGTTCAGAATTATTTCTTATCAAAGTTCTGATTAAACTTTTTAAGTTAATGCATGTTATTTGGCATTTAAGAAAAAAGCTGTTTAGTTTCTAAAATCATGTATTTTAACAAATGCATCAAAAAATGTTGTCCTACATTCATGAAGTATAGAAACAAGATCAGATTTATGGGATGGATTTGGGAATATCTGACTTTTCCAAAACAGACAATTTATGAAAAATATGATCATGAACGTGTTCGCCTTTTTAACTATGTGAAGATAGGAATGTGCAGAATATGCATTTTGTTAAAATTGCATTCCCCCGATCGACTTCAAAAATAATCTTTTTCCTATAGCAAGTTAAGATTATTTGTATATAGCTAAACAAATATTTTATTATTTCAAGAATCTTGGTTTCCACTTTTTTCGCGAAGGTGATTTATTTATTCAGCATTTTAAACAAACAATTTCCTTCAGTTCTATTCAAATCTTACTGTTAACAAAATAATAAAATCTATATATAAATTTGGCTTGTCTGTCTGTTTGTCTGTCTGTCTGTCTGTCTGTCTGTTTGTATCCAATAAACGTCAAAACGGCTGAACCGATCGGGCTCACATTTTTTGTGGGACATCTAGGGACCCCAGGGAAGGTTTATGAATGATTGAAATTTTAAATATTTGTCTCCATCAAAATTCGATCTTCATTAAATTTTTTAAAATTTTGAAAANCAAAGTCAGGATATGTTCCACAATAAACATTTTAAATAAACATATGCTGTAGTTTTTTTTAGGATTGAAAGATATTTAGGCTTCAAAAGATAACTTTGTTGAGTTGGCCCATTTCTAAAACTTAGTATTCATAATTATTTACATTTCAAAAATATACAAACAGTTTTTGGTCTTTCTTTTATAACTCTAGCTCTAATTGCATTCTGAGTTTTGTTTGGTCTGGATACACAATAAAGAAACAAATTGATCCTACAAATAGTGGTTTTAATATAATGGACCAACATTGTGGAACATTTACGAACATTAATGAGTATTAAGTCTGATTTAAGAGATTAAGAGGGAGAACCTGTCTTGAAGTTGTGCAAGCCAAACTTAGTAAGTGTACACTGTACATATTTCTTTCATTTGTAAGTGTACATGTTTCTTTCATTTGTAAGTGTACATGTTTCTTTCTTATGTAAGTGTACAGGTTCCTTTCATATGTAAGTGTACATGTTTCTTTCATATGTAAGTGTACATGTCTCTTTCTTATGTAAGTGTACATATTCCTTTCAAATGTAAGTGCACATGTTACTTTCTTATGTAAGTGTACACGTTCCTTTCTTATGTAAGTATAAATGTTCCTTTCATATGTAAGTGTACATGTTTCTTTCTTATGTAAGTGTACA